TGTACACGTTATTTATTATGAGCAAGTAGAAATGTTATGATTTCTCTGTAATTTTATGAACTTAATTCAATCGATTAACTTTTCCTATTGTAATAAAGTAACAAATTATGATCAAATCTAATTGATTTTATTCGCTTGATCATTTAAGTTAATTAAACACACACACATAGGGTTGGTGAATGTGCAATTAAAAATGCGCATTCGTTTTCCCATTTTGTGTTTCTATAATGGAAACGCGACCGAGTTTGCGTTTCTTCATCCATTTCATGCCGCATTCTCTCTTCGACGCTTATTGGAAAAGTAAATACACTTCTTCGCGCTCAGACGGTTTGAATGGGGCCGAAGTGCATCAAATGGGGAATTGTGTTTCCATTATAGATATTGTTTCCTTTAAGTGCCATTTCCAATTACTGCGCTTTTCCGGAACCCCCGGAAACGAACGAGCCGCAACCCATCCATCCCCAAATCCACAGCCACCCTCACCAAGAATAATTCATTATTAAACGTCGCGCTTTCAGTCAGTCCCATCTTCGCCGCTAATTCCCACATTGTTAAATGCGATTTTATACAATCTTCACTTGTATCTCTACTCCTGTTATTAGCATCATTTAATTAAATATAAACAGTTTTAAACTGTATTAAGCAATTACAATTTTAATTAGGCCACCAACATCACGCTTTTACAAACCCCAACCCCCTTCCATTTCATAAAAGGAACGCGTATTACAGCAATATGGATAAGAACACAGGAATGTATCTATACTTGCTGGATTCCCCAAACATTCAGCTTTCATATGCATGTATTGGATTCATTCAATCTATAATAGTTTTCGAGTAAATCAATGAAATGTGAAAACACTGCTTTTTCGAACGTATACATATATACAAGGCGTTCTCATTTCGCACTTGTCATAGATCGGACATCTCTCTTCGTTCCGTTCTGGCAATGTGTGTGTTTGGATTTATGATGCGTCCGTCATGCGATACGGCGATGATCATCATGCCGACTATTCCTCCATCGCCTGGGAAATCCTCACCACCACCCTCTCATACACAACTGCAGCTATCTTGATCTTTCGTTGAGGGGGTGGAGGGTGCGCGTTTCAGTGGCCCTCTTGAAAAATGGTGGAATGTTATTTCTTTGGCGGCACGCGGTTTGTTCGCTTTCAGCTTTCAGCCCTCCTCTCCCACCCAGAGAACACACACGAGATAGATCTCATTCGCCCTAATATTTTCTGCAAAGATAGCCGAAGAGTGCGAAAGTTGGATAGAGATAGCGAGAGTGTAAAAGCGTGAGGGAGAGCGAGAAACACATCTTTCTTCCCCAATTCCAGATCCGACTATCTATCCGCCGCATCGCGTAAAGATATTTTCTCCTTCCTCTCTTTTATTCTTTCTCTATTTTTTTTTTGTTTTCTCTCTCACCCATCACATCGATTCGACGAACCTCCTCCTCCTTCCAATTCCTCCACCTTCTTCACATCCACCCCCGCAACTCGTGATTACATTACTCAAAAATCCATACCCGGTTTTTATCTTTATTCCTCGACCATTCAACGCCGCTCCTTTATTTTATTATTAACCGGATTCGCCCCGGTCCTTTTAGCTTTCATCTCTTTTTCTCTCTCATCTACTCAAGCGAAATTTGTACATCGAGCGAGCGCACAGAAAAAAAAATTATATGATATAAACGAAACAAACCGATATTAGTTTAAAGCACGTCTAGCCTTTATACGTTCACTATTTAACATTCATTTTATCTCATTCCATAAATGTTTCATTGAATTAGATACAAAAAAATATATATAGTAATTTGCTTTTATCATATTCATACACATTTATAAGGAAACATATAAAAGTTTTGTCTCTATTTTGTACTTAATTTGAACTTTCTACTGTTTGTATTTTCTATTTTTCATCCAATCAAAATTGTAGATTCCAGTAATTTTTACAAAGAATATAAACACTTTCCTCAATTCGCAATTGATTTTTTGGTAAT